TGGCATTGCGAGTTCTGAAAATCGAAATAAGGTTGGACAATTTGAGAATTGCACTCGACAAACTATACTGCGGCGTCGATGCATCCACCCCACACCTGCAGCAGCTGCTATAATAATATGAAGAGCAGATTTTTACGAGAAGTCAGCCCCGCCTGCGTTATGTAACAACTTTGAATTTACGACGACAAGACAAAATAAAATGTAAATATATACATTTCTCCGCAAATCGAAAAATAAAACAGAATTCAAATGACCAGTTCATTTACTTGTGCTCGGCTCGTTTAAACCAATTTATCATATTATTCGAAAAAAAAGTACAAGTTACAATGCGGCGACCGGTACAGCAGCAGCAGTGTCATCATCGAGCAGCTATATTATGTATATCGGCCCGAGAGAAAGCGCGCGCAATGTGTCGTATATATTCGATATTTTAATATTTTACAAGTATTGGTTTTTTTTTATTCCTGTTGTCATTGCTGAAATTTAAAATCGAAAACTCGAATTTCTCGAACCCCTTCACGGGCGATATAGTATTACTGCGTTCGGCACAGTGGCGGTACATATAATATAATCGTATTACTGTTTTGATATATTATGACGATCGTCTGTCTCTCCTGTTTACGATATTTTTTTATTATTTATATTACACATAATTCGTACCTATCGGCAAAATCGGACGAAACGATAGGATTTAATAGTAATAATAATAATAATAATAATAATAATGTATAGATTATCATAATAGACGTATCGTATGGCGCGGGCTGCATTAATAATGTCAAATCGCCGAACGACCGGACAGACGAGCGGCGATAAATGTGTAGAATATTATATATTTTAATATTTATATAGTTTATGCGGTGGCCGAGAGTAACAAAATCAAAAGTGAAAAAAATATGATAATTGCCAGCACAGTCAGCTTATAATAAATATAATATGCAATATTTATACATTTTAATCCTGATTTGTGATCGCATTCAACGCGTGCGCATTTGTGGTTTTCTCATTCGTCTTTAATGATTTTCGTTTTTTACCGTTGCAAGTGACAATTATATAATGCCATGGCCCATGACTGCACCTAATCATAATTTAGGAGAAAAAAACCAAATTTTCTCCGTCTCTTGTATTGTTTATTATACTATTTTTAAACTTTCATATCCTTTTAAAGATTTCGAGCGCTAGAGTGATGGCGAGGAGTGACTATATTAGGTCTCTATATATATCTTATATATGGCCTATATAATAATAAATGCCTCACAAAACGTAAATCTGTAGACTAGCTGCACTTTTAAAAGGTCAATTTTACGTTCACATGGTTTCAGAAATTTCGCGAAAAAATAACGATGGGAGAAAAAACTGAAAAAAAACTGACATTATGGAATTTAGGAATAATAATATACTGTATAACGCATATTATAACATCCGCGCTATAACATTCCATGTTTAATATGGAATCTCTCTCCGTCTGGCGCTCTGCCGAGACGCTTTCGTCCATGTTCTTGAATTTCGTTCGCCGCTCCAGAGAATCCGGAATTAAATGAAAACACCGTGGTATCTAAAATAATATTAATAATAATGGTAAAACGAAGAAAAACAAAAAAATCGTCGAGATTAAAAAAAAAAAGCTGTTGTAATAATATAATTAGAAGAATACTCGGGTGCTGAGGCGATATTGTAACACTTATATTATATTTTTTTATTTATCTCATATTACACTCATCGAGAAATCGTAAACGGGCATCCTCCGCTCGTTTAATGGATCACACGGTATATATACGATATGGCCAATATATGAGTTTTTTTCTAAAATAAAATATATTTAATGGACTGGAGCTGATGTGTCTGTCTCTCGAGGTCGACATCAACATATAATGTTATTTATTTTATAGTAAAATTCTAAAACATCGCTTTAATCGCGTAATTGTTGCTGCAGCAGCCACCTCCGCATCGTGTACGTAGTCGTTTCACCAGTATCTCGTGCAGGCACCTACATGTATGATCATATTTTATTATATTGTATTAATCACTGCAGCAGTAACTGAAAATCGATTTTTTTTTGTCCTTTTCGATTTGTTCCGGTCCCCCTTGCATATAATATAATAATATCGTATTATTATGTACACGGTTCCGCCGAACCGCTATTGTCGCCGGCCGATCGCGTACACAATAAAATTAAATAATGTGATACTATTATAATGAAAATAATATTGTGATAAAATAATATTTATTATTATTCCGCTGATTATAAAATAAACAAACAAAACGAGAAGGATAAAAAACACGCACGCGATGTCTCGTTTCATTAGAGCGATCCTCGACGGCAGCGAGCCCCCACGGCACAATTCATATTATTATTTTCGTATTAATTTTTTTATATCCGCGCTCGGCATTTTTTTCTTGTTGTTTATTTCGTATTGTGATGTTCATAATCGTATTCATTCGTTTTGTCCGACGTGTATAATATTATTATGATATTAATATGATGTAGGTACCTACCTATATTTTAATTATTTATTATGCCTCGCGTTATATATATTGTATATTGACATAATAAGCAGACGCCTAACGCATATGGCAAGCCTTTAATATTATATTTTTTCTAGGAAATTATAACATAATATTACATTATATTGTATAGACTTAAGTGTAATAATAACGACGAGTACGTCGTATATGATTTTGATAGATTTTGTCTTACGAGTTTGATATTGTGTACCAGTTGTGTGCATTGTACTTACTAAATTATAAATTATTATTATTGAAATATAGGTGACTACCGTTTGTTTTCCGTCGGCAGAAGGGTGTGAAAAACTTATCTACGCGCTCGTATAATCATTTTCGTTATTTTAATTTAACCTACACCGTTCGCATTGAATTCCACATGTACTGCAATAATATACATATATAAGTAATATATATATATATGGAAATCGGTCGTTGTAATGTAGGTATATGATCGCGGTACGGTATACCAAGGTCGTTGTGTTGCGTAAGATAGTATTAGATATGTAGTCATTGGTTGGTACTATATTGTACAAACCGCATTCGTTCATCATATACCACAAATGAATTGGACAAGGGAAAACAATGATTAGTATACCGCCGTGAAAATGCAACGATAATAATATAATGTATCCTTAAGCCGCGAAAGTAGGTACACATTTGTACATAATATAACAATAATCTAATATTGTACGACACAATACGATGTTATACCTAAATCTACGTATTAACACGATGGGTTTATAGACTCGTGTTTCTGATTAGGCACGGAATTCGGTTTCGAATGCTCCGCGAGATCAATCCGGTCCTGTATCATATTTGTTATTGACCGACGTGTTGTTTTTTAATAAAATTCTACCCTTTTACTTTTCTCTGACTGTGTCGCAACATAATATTAATCGATTTTAGGAAATATTGTTTACTGTATTGTAGTTATTAATAATTATTGACAATAACAAAAACAATAAATATACATAATATATTTTGTCCAGTAAAACGAAATGATGTATTTTCTATTAACACCTATAGTAAAATTAAAGAATTTTCATAATTTTTAAGAAAATAACTTTAAAAATAATATATAAAGTGGCTTAACATCGAATTGTATTTTCATGTTATACTTAACCGAATCTCCTCTATAGGTTCATTCGTCTAATTTTTAAATTTAATATCAATAATAAATCCCCTATTCTTTTGTTTGTTATCGCGAATTCTTATTTACTTTATTTCTGTCGTCTTTTGTTGTCTTTCACAAAATGTTCTTTCTTTTGACTTGTTCGTGCATACTTTGTAATTTTTGTAGCATATCACTTTATTTAAGGATAGATTATTTCGGTACATTTTCGTTTGGTTTTAAGTGCTATTTAAGTATAAAATTGCATCATAATAGATACCCGATAATTGCAGTGATTACAGACAGATTAGTATGACAACAGTTTTTTTTTTAAATTTAAGCGTCCCTTCAATGATCTGTTGCCGCAGTCGACCGACCTGTGTGACATATAATATAGAGTATTTTTATATACTTCTCGGTTCAGTGAACATTTTTAAGGCGACCACTTTGCAGTATTTAGAGAGTTGCACAGGTGGAATTTATAAATCTGAAACATACCTACACCTATGACTTATATATTTATTATTAATATTATTATTATTAATCCGTTGTATATAGTCTGTAAGCGCTATAATTTATAAGGAAATGTCACAATGCCACCAGGAAAATTGGTTGAAATGTGCTCGGCCTTGCAGATTTGATTTTTCGGTGCACAATAATTACGAATTTACGATAAAAATATGTACTGCACTGTCCGCATATATTATTGTTACAATAATTATTCAATCCAGCGACAGATCGTGAAACACTATAAAATATATTTAAATATGCATACAAGGCGTCCCTCGAAAATTTACGATTCTAAAGTGGTTCGTTTCATTTGGACATTATACATATATTATTATATATACGACCGTAAAACTATATCTTCTTGATGAATAAATACAAAATAAAAAACATATGCGAGATAAGTGTATTAAAAAGATTAAATACGGAATAAATATTATGTATACAATAAATGCAGCTAGTAAAATATCGTTTGTGCAATCGTGGAAATATCGCACTTGAAAAAATTATAATTTCATTCTGTTCATGGATTTTCGTTAGTTAAAAAAATCTCTTATCTCTGATTTCCCCAAATAGCCCACCTAAGTAGTCCACTCTGAACAGTACTGCAGACAATGTATTTGATGCGTTGTTAAAAACATTGTTATTTGTAAAATGTGACAAGTGTGGGTACAATTAATACTACCGCATAGGTATATTATAAACAGCACTCTGACGCTGTGAATGATACGTGTATTTTATAACATTATGTTTGTCAATATTATTTCGTGTCCATAACAATAACATAATTTGTATCAGTAATTATTTAAAGTATTTAAATATATTGTAATGTTATAATATAAAAATAATTTTTTTTATCTTTATTGTCATTTTCCAGACCACTTGTTTGTACGATCACATAAGATGGGCCGACGCATTCGTAATCGTCTACAGCGTGGTGGACCTGTCGAGTTTTAACGAAGCTCAATACCTTTTGGACGAGTTGAGCAAACACAAATTGCCGTCGTACTTCGCTACACTGTTGCTGGGCAACAAGAGGGACTTGGACCATTCCAGGTAAAGCGTGCAAATCTCGTACAACAATAATATTAATAATAGGTTATAATATATATGTATATATGTAGTTGTATAACACACTCGTAGTGCGTAATAATTGTTGCGGGTGATTGCGTGCACGCGTATACAATGTGGACAGAGCTGAGGGGTGGTAGATAGAGAGAGAGAGAGAGAGACAGAGAGAGAGAGACAGAAAAGAAAAGATGGAGAAAAAAAGAGATTGAAAGAGAGAAAGGGAGAAATCGTATTGTGGAGTGTGTTTTGAACTAGACACGCCTAAAAACACCAAAAAGTATATAACATACATCGCAATGGGTCATTGCGATGTATTTCCTAAAATAATGGATAATGGATATCCTAGTTCTGGTTTCTTAATAAGATTCACAGGGACAAGAACTACAAATATTTCATGTTTAAATTGTCAATGTTTTGGTAAAAAAGTGTAGGTATATATTAATTTCAACATATTTTTTATTTAATGATTTTCAAAAAAAAATTGAAAATCGCCATTTTGTTCAACGTTTTCTGAAAACATAGACGTTTCGATATTTTATTTTCATTAATCTCCCGAATTTTAATATTTTTTTCTAGTCTCGAGAAAAATTGCAAATTATTTAACACTATATATATAATGGTATCAATCATTTGGCGCACGCTCGAACGGTCGGCGAACGCTTTCTGCAGTGGCCAGAAATTTTTCTCGAAACTAGAAAAAATACTAAAAACCAACCGATTAATGAAAATAAAATGTTGAAACTGAAATTTTTTCAGAAAAATGAACTTTACAAGATTGCTTTCTTCGAGTTTTTCGAAAATAGTTAAATGAAACAAAATATATTTTTTTACTTTTTTACCAAAACATTAAATTAATTAAACCACGAAATATTTGTAGTTCTTGTCCCTGTGAGTCTTATTAAAAAAAACCAGAACTATGATGTCCATTTCCATTATTTCAGGAGATATATCGCAATTGGTACATTTTCTCAAGGGACACTCTGTATGTATAGCAATATATATTATATACCATATAGGGAAACGTTCGCGGGCCTTATATATTATATTATGTATATACAGTAAATCGCGTCTCGGTGGTGCTTGCTCGATCTTCGTTATAATATTGCAATAATAGGTGCAACATAACATAATAGCACGTAAGACGATACGCGATCTCAATTGGCGACACATTAAACGTATATATATCATCTTGTTATATATTATTTACCTGCGTGTAAACAATAAAATATAATAATTACCAAAGCGTAGGTGGCGAAATCAAAATCGCCGGCACCGTCTCGTCTGCTCGCGTGTTACGGTGCGGCGGCGACCAGCAGCTATATAGTCGTGTGTCTCATTGTTCTGGTTTTATTCTTTTTATCTCTCTATTCTCCATTATAGTCTCTTCGCGTGTCGTATGACAATATAATTATAACTACGTCGAAAACAACTGCCGCCGCCGCCGCCGCTGCCCCGCGCCCGCTATTCCCACGACTTCCTGTTCGTGTATTACATATATAGGTATAAAAATATACACATACTCTGCGGGACTTGCCGCGTTTCCGGTTTGCAGTGTGTGTGTGTGTGTGTATATATACTAATCCATCGTTTACCCGCCGCACGTGTTTTCCACGCTTTTGTACGACTTTCGATGCGATAATGCGTAAGACCACACGGCGAGCCGATCCTTAGTTCTTCTTGAATTTCTGCTCTACAAATGTCCCACTGGCCCTGAAATCGAATCTACCGAAAACGACGGACTAAAAGTTAGCCCAGCAACTTTGCTTGTAGCGTCCAGCAAAAATTAGATCTGCAGATTTGTATTTTCTATAATATTATGTATAGTGATCACCAAGAATTCGAGTATGACAAATAGTACCGTCCTCGTAATATTAATAGTCACTTGAATAGAGGAACACGTGGGGAGGAATGGCGCGCACTTCTTAGCAATAATAATAGATATTTATTAAACAACCCAAAGTTTAAAAAAAATAGAGTTATCAATACTGAAGAAGTATGAATTATAATACTATAGAGAGGATAATCGTTTTCTCATTTCAAAATAAAAATATTCTACAACTATACAATAGTCCATCATAATAATATTAAAACAATTATTTGCGGGTAATTAATACTAATCATCTCATATTTAGTGTTTGAAAAATCTCTGACTTTTAGATATTTTTTTAGTGGATATTCACAAGTTTTATGTGATAATCAATATGTTTTCCAATTTTAAGTCTGGCTTGTTATATTAATAAACTCATCCGGTTCATTTACCTTATATTGCTGGTCTACGAGATATATCTATGTGATCGCCGTGATAATATTGTGTCCATCACTCCTCGCTTTTCACCCCCAACCTGCAATGGCGTATCTGGGATTTTTTCTAAATGGTGATATTATGACCAAAACTATTTTGCACATTGGGAGCCAAGGAGGAGGGGGGGAGCAGTTCCCCTTGGGATAATCCACGGATTTCATAATTATATCACCAGTATCAACAATCTCACCCTAACACCATTAACAACACTCCTATAGTTACAATAACAGTTTTCAAAGAAAAATGAGGAAAATGAAATGGACCAAAAAAATAAAGACTTTGGGTGGTGATATCAACCCCTCCTCACGCCCCCCATAAATATGCCACTGCAACTCCAAATAACCACGTGTTAATGTACATCACGTGTTTTGTCCACGTGCGTTGCTCAACGCCTCAACTTAACATATTAATATTATTAAACTGTTCGCACGAGTATAATATAATGTAATAATATATTATCATCATGCCTTTATTTATTAATTACCTATTACGCGATATTATGTACAATAAACGTATTCAGTGAACCGATTGCTGGTGTGCATCGTGCCAGTGACAAGTACCTACCCATACCGTCGAACCGCCTATTGTTTTTATGTAATTTTTATATTATATTGTATCAATCATCTAACAATTATTATAATCAACTCACGTTTTTACTTATTTTTATATTTTATAAAATTTTCCGCATCTGCCACATGTGATTTTGACAGGCCGACAGACCTACCAATATATAATTATACATTTATACCCGAACCTGTCCCCGTAAAAAATTATATAATACACCTAATGCTGCAGCCATATTATATTGTACACTAAGCGAGTCGTTTAAACAATACCACTGCTTTCGGTTTTCGTTTGCACACTTCGTTCTGAGAATATTTTAATCTTGTTGGGGAAAAAAAAGATTTCTTATCGCTCGTGTATGCGTTACCGCGTAATGTGTGTATCTGTTTTTTTAACGAATTTGCACGGCTGAAAGATGACGAAATAAAAATGCGACAATCGTAATATTGTTGACCGATATATTATAATAATTTATGTGAACATAATAACATATTGTGGTGGTCGGCACTCCCAGGAACCCAAAACAAATCAAAACGCTTATTTGTATGAGGAATTTTTTTTTTTACAAGCAGCGAGCAAAGTTTATAATAATTTTTGAAGTCCAATGGTGTTTTGAAATATCACAGTTATCGTGATTCGTGATAATAATATTGAGCGACGGTGCCGAAATATATATTAGTCAGCAAATCTATCGAATGTGAATAGATGCAATATTATACAATTATATGTAGTTGGACATAATTATTGATTTTTGTCCAACTGAGTACAGTTGCATGGTTGCAGTCTCTTCGATATAGAGCACGATTTTTCTTTTTCGAGAAATATCTATACCTAGGTATAATGTCTAAATTCTAGTTTTGTCAACTTGGAAATATTTAATTATGTATACGATCACGGTGTATAAATTTAAATCGAATACGTAACTTTTGGAAATCTGGACGGAAATCTCGGGTAAAAAACGTATACGGAATCGTGTGCCTTAAAAAGTGCGCAGCTGTTCGCCGCAGATAAGGACCGCGCAGGTCGTGTTGTGCCCGCTGTCTCTTACGGATTTAATTTTGATGATATCATATTGATTATTAATGTACTATTGTACTTCTTAGAAAGATTAAACTAGGTACACTAGGTCCAATCAGATGATTGGAAGCGGTGATTGATTTTCTGTCTCCGTCTAACACTGCGCGTGAAACATAGGAATTCAGACGTGTTTTCATTCTAATAACATATCGATTGATCAATAAGCGAAGCGATAAAAAATAATAATTCTAAAAACAGATTTTATCATCTGTCACCAAGTCTACTGGAGATTATAACCTAACCTGACCTGGAGATTAACCTTACAATGACTTTACAACGATTATAAAATGTAGGTAAAATTGATTATATAGGTGCCTCGAATTGTTCGATATTCTCTGGTGTTATTATCGGGAATTCCCGCCAAGTAACGACCAGGAAATTATTGCCCGACCCTATGTATATTATATGACTATACTGTATATAATGTCTATATATTTATTTATTTAAATTCGACAAACGGTTGCGCGTAGGTCAGGCCAGGTTAGACGAGAACGAGAGTTTTTTTTTTGAACAAACATTGCACGGAAACGGTTCATCTGCCGCTGTAGGTTGTATTATTACTTTTTATACTACTCTTAAATTTCTAATATACATTCGGAAGTGACTATATAATATATTATTATACTCTCAAGACAAACATATTTAGTTGGTCCTTTTTGTTTTGTTTGTATTCGAGTTTCAAATATCGATTTCATTATTTTCACCTGAGTTACGTGCCTATTTAAATACTTAAAAAAAAATATATAATATATACATATATTACGCAAGGCGTTTTGAGACTAAAATAACACATCAGATAATAATCCAAATAGACGGTCTTCTCTCCAAAGTCGTCGGACTGATTTCCTTTCGGTTGCAGTGTTACTTCAAACGTTATTCGAAAACATTACACTTACTAAAGACTAATCGGTATATATGAAAAAAGTAATTTCCAAATAAATAATAATTGTTTAAGTTGCTGCTCATCTCTATGTGTAATATGTTACCAGTTATATACGGCATTGGTACAATGGTACATCTTTTCTGTAATTTCCTCAATCAGTTCACTGCTGCAGTCCTTTGGAAAAACGGTTTTTTTTTCTATCGTTTGAAAAACTTTTGAAATTCAATTTCTGTAAGAAAATTAAATTCTAAAGTCTTACGAGAGAATTTTCAGTGTCAGATGTGTGAAAATCATTATAAAACAATATGTATTTAATATTTATACTCTGTTCGAGTTGAGGAACGTGACCGAATCGTGCGCGGGGGCATGGCAATACTACACAGCAGATAACTGACGGGGGGGGGGGGGGGGCAGGGGGTGACAAACGGGTGTGTCTGAGTGCGACCAGACTATACGTTTCTTAACTTGGACAATGCATATAGTGTATGGTAAACTTTGTTGTACGTATAATTATTTATCGACCTGAGAGTGATTCAAGACTCGCGATCCCTCAAACTCATATCGGAACTTACCATCCACTGACCACTGGAGGACGTAAGACCAACACAACACGGAGGAATACAAAAAATTATGCTTTTTCGGAGTGTTTCACGAAAATTCGCATCGAAATAAAAACAATTGCATCGCTCGTGTCTGCATATTATATAGGGACTACGGTAGCGTAGTATAGTGTGTGTATTCCGTCGGAGGGCTTCGAAATAGAATCGACCGGGTGCAGCACCCCCCCCCCCCCCATCATGGTGACGAGATGCTATGTACCGATCGCCCTACATCGTCCTCAGGAAAAACAAATCTAAAAATAATAACGATAAACTTGTTTAATATAAAACTTTTTTATTAATACGGAAATAACTATATACACAAAACCGTCACGTTATATAGTCGGGGGTCAACAGCCCGATAAAAGGCTTTTTCGAACTCTCATATACGATATAATATAATATTATTATATTATTACACATAAGTGTATCTATGTGTATCGTATATATATGATGATGTGCGGATTAGGTGTTTTAATAGAAAACATAATCTCTAAGCTCGCGACAGTCAGCTGAAATATTAAAAACTAATAATGTTGCATTTAATTTATACATCATATAATAGTATGCGTGTACAGTGAGGTGGGGCCCTCAGCTTATTCTTGTTAATTATTTTTGTATACAGTTTGCTGTAGGTACTCGCCCATTTACTTGTTAATGCGTAATAAAATATCGACTGATAGTTTGAAATCGATCGTTCAATTTTAAGCCATGTCCCGGCGGCGGGTTCAGTACTTTTGTTAATTTTCACGAAAATCTATAAACATTGGGCTATAACTTTTTTTTTTTAACGAAATTAAAATTAGAAAATTACTATGATGATTTCAAAAATGTTTTTATTGTTTGTTTTATTAATACCAGTCAAACGGTTCGAAACAATCGAACACATTAAAATTACACAATATGTACATATATGAACATATTATATATTTCAGTATGTAAATAAATATATGCATGTAATATTATAACTAAAGTGCAAATAAATCGCAGTAAAATTGAACTACATTTTTTATTTCCACCAATATTACACTTTTATGGCGTCGGTCAGTGGGTAAAAAAAAAGACCGTTGTTGCTTCGGAGTGTATATCATGTACAACAAATTTGAGAGGAATTTCCACTATACATACATCTCGAGTATAATTACGATTTACGATTTAGCCATATGTCCATATTTTAAACCATCTGGTAAGTCTAGTCATATGCTTAAAGGTATTAAGTATTAAGTACTTTGCGTGTATCGCATTATCAGTTACCTTTTAATAATCAAACTAAAGAATATATTATACCAACATCGTTCTGCTTACATAACTGAATTATTATAATACCGTACTTTGATGTATTTTAACCAACTTCACTCTCTTATATAACATGCAGGGAATGGAGTCACGAGTCACGACAGTGGTGTACCTGAATAGTCTATCCGGAACGCCGCGTGATTTTGATTTTGTACTATCGTAATAACATTAAATCGAATAACATGAGATATAAAGGTATCCTAATGGAAAAAAGAAAGATTCTTAGACATTTCCTGGGACGTTTTTCGAATTTAAATATTTTATTCTCAAGATAAATTCAGAAATAAACAACGAAAAACTTTTCTTTTTTTAAATATTTTAAGATCAATGCTTTTTCGTCCTTGCTCGAATATACCCGTGGAATAAAATATTTTCTAGTTTGAATAATTATGAAAAGAAATATTTATACTTCGCTTATTATTCCACTTATTTTAGGTACATCTTGCAGTACACCTCGTTTTGATCACCGTCAATTTTTTTTATTTTTCCCTGTCTTTGTTTTAACTTGTAGTTAAAAATGTACTTAATGTCTTCTAATCATACCACCTTGGTCACACTACGTATATCAATATTGTTCAACTTTCAACATTTTTCAAATAATAAACGATAGCAGTTTTGTTGAAATTCCACCCTACTTGGTAATCCTTCTTATCGCACATTATTGCTACAGTAAAGTTCTCAGGAAATTTTATGTTAGTTTCTTATAAAAACAATAAAAATATACTTTTTTTTTTTTTAATTTCGTACAGCATATTTTTAATTACTGGTAAAAACATTTAGCTCTTAATTGCTAACAACTGAGAAAGACCAAACTTATATTTAATTTAACTAACAAATAACTGAAATGTTGATTTTAACTAAACGTATTATTTTCAAAATACAAAAGTTATTTCAATAGACACATAAACTACGTAATTTGGTATTAAGTCATCGACCTGTTGTTTAAATGAATGAACTGGTCGAAACACAATGTTTGTTAAAAAGTGACATTAAACTGTTATTAATACCCAACTTTGCTTGTATTATATTATACTAAATATTAACAGAGTGTAACAGAAACAACTGACTAATGCAATACTAATGTTATAATCAATATTTTAATAAAAATTGTATTTTGTAAATATAAATATTTGAGCCATATTAACTATAGTATAGATTTTATATTTCTTAAGTAATAATTTGAAAAATTAATTCAATTGAAATTTCAAAATAGTCGATTTGCAAATCTAGTTACAAGAGCAGTTTGTATGGTAAAACGTAAAACATTTATCTAAGTCAACTAGTTTATTTTAATTTTCTAAAATATCAAAATATATATTATTTTTTTAAAGTACCTATAAACTAATTAAAACGCGTAATAGATTTTTTCATATTTCCCGACATATTAAGTATGTTTCTTAAATTATTTGTCATCCAAATTCGTTGACAATTTTTATCATATTATTAGCTTTAACTTTTTTTTGTCGTGTCTTTCTGTTACATCCGGTATTATTCCACGAACGACAGGTTATACTCAGGATGTATGTTATTTATAAAGAGGTATATTTATAGAATTATATATATATCACGAGTACCTACGTCGTCGTCTATATAAAATATTATACATAATAATACATAATGCACAATAAATATTGCTATAATTTGTCGTATTATGTTATAACGCCACTGTCGCCACTACTATGTGTACGCATAACTAACTAAATATCTCGCTCGATTGTTGCAGGCTAGTGGCCGTGGATGCGGGACAAGAGCTGTCGCTGCGGTTCGGCTGTCAGTTCTACGAGGTGAGCGCGGCCGAGAACTTCGCGGGCGTGTCGCTGGCGTTCCACTCGCTGTTGCGCGAGACCCGGGCGGTGCAGCTGCTCCGCGGGCTGCCGATCAGGCGCAAGCTGGGCGTGAACAGCGTGTCCAAGGTGCTGGGCACGATATTCGGCAAGAACAGCAGCAAGCGGGACCGGAAGAAGCGGCCGTCGCTGAGCATATGACCCGCGTGGGCGTCCGCCGACACGGCCACCGCCGCGGGCGCTCCGAACACGACGCTCACGCTGTGAACACGTACGCGCGAAGAAGAGAGAAAAAATGGAAAATTGAAAAAAAAATAAAAACCAAATAAAAAAAAATTAATAATTTCGCCTCGACGCCCGCCAACCTGGCACCCCCTCCACGTCCCCTCCATTCGCGTCCTCGCAGTGGTCGATTATTTACTCGCCACGATCGAAGGAAGTCGTCTTCGCGGCCCATCACGTTAAATCGCCGCAGTTTGGTGGTGCACGTCCGCTGCTGCTGCGGCGACCGAAGTGTAAAATATTTTGTTATTTAAATGGCGGTGATGGCAGGCGCATAACATCCGTTTCCGTTCCGGATGATGGACAAGGAGGAGCTGAACATTATAGTGTATACGTATAATTATACGCGTAGTGAAGGCGCGTGCGTGACGGTGATGATACTGCGGCAGCCTATCATCGTTGGATTCGCCTGCAACCCGAGAGATTGCGAGAAACGAAATAAATACAAATTTTGAGTGGGACATGTCCGACGGGTCGGTCGTCGATGGACGAAAACCACGGACGACGCATAATATCGATCAAACGACGTGTCGTATTATATTGCAGATTATATCGTTATGGAATTCCGTATATCGGCCCTGTCGATGACTCGGTTTTGACAGAAACCAACCGAGTTGTACCGACACCAGCCGAATGTGACAACGAAGTATGCCAAAAAAAAAAAAAAAAATCGGAAACGAACTTTCGGCGAGAAAATAAAAATCACACGTACCCGCCATCCTTCGTATAATATGGTCATTGCACGTCTAACGGCGGCGGCCGAGTTTTCGGTAACGATGGCGAAGCACATAATACAATATCGACGATGATATTATACTGAATGACTTTTCCGCTGAACGAGATGATGTTTGATATCCCGTCGACAAACGACATCGGACTTGAACGTTTTCGAAAACTGCGACGGGTCGACAATTTATTTTTAAAAATTTTTTTGGGTTACTCGAAAGTCGAAATCCATCCCCCGCCGCATCCTCTGTATCGCTCACACACTCTCACTCTCTCTCTCTCTCTCTCTCTCTGATCTCATGAATCGAAGCATTTTCAACGATTATTTTTCATTAACTCGATGTATTATTATTATATTATTATAGAGGTACCTATTGTTAGTGTTACTGTACGTCTTGTATTATTATTGTAGATTTTATATTGTAATAATATGTTTAATTTAAAAAGAAATTGTTCTGTACGACAATTATATATTTTATTATATACATTCGAAACAATTAATAATTAATCGGCATATAGGTACTAACAGCGTCCATGTGACTCACACCCGTCACGTGATTATTCGATGTTTAATGAATAGTCTGCGGAGACATCATCAGGTGTGCACGGTACATATTTTAATAATATTTAAAGAGCATATTATGATTAATTATTAATGTCAATTTTGTTGTTGTTTTCAATGCGTATAATATAATAATAATATAACCGTACAAACAGTGTACAAAGATTATTACTTATTATTAGTATCTAATAGTATATATTATAATATTAGGTTTGTTGTTAATTATTATCATGTGTTAAGATCGATAGCTAAATCATAATTTTTATACAGGTTTAGTGTTAGCAAGCCGTTAACGAGATCCGAATTACGTTGGTGAGCTGTAAATGCCACACAACGACACTATCGATTTGAATGGAAGTTGAAATGTGTGCTTGGGTATAGTATGTTATTATGTATTATGGGAAATCCGACTTCATTACACTCCTCGTTGTTGTAGTTTTTTTTTTTTTGTACCACATCGGTGGTTGACATCTAACACCGTTGTAAAATAATAATTGTAATACACAATCGTGTGTTACCAATATTTTCACATACTTACCCAACTAAAATGCATAACAAAATTTTAAATCATATTATACATTTATTTATGTGCTGTTATAATATTAATGATTGATATTGTACCCGAATTGATTTTAAGTGTATCCATTAAAAATTTTTGCAACTATCGAATTAACGGTATTTTGATAACATTATGTTACTAGTAACGTTTCTATTCATTAATATATTATATTATTATATTGTAGACGTTATAAAATATGCTACGTTTTAGTGTAAATAAACGCATTTTTATACTTACAAATAATACATATTGTATGTGTCATGAAATGTCAATGTGCATTGTTTCAATTAATTTATTTGTATTATTTCTATCATCAATATTTGGTGAGAAATTGGCGTATTTTAATAAAAACAAACAAATAAAACATTATGTTGAAATAAAAATAATATTATTTAATATTTGTGTCTTTGTGATGCTTAATAGGTTATTATAAATAATGATGTTTTGGCAATTAAGAGATCTCCACACAGGTGGGTTATAATTCGATCAGTCTATCAAAGTATTCTTTCTTCTTAATAGGGTCAGGAATTATCTGAAACATACAAAGTATACAAGTTAATTTACTAATAATGTTTGAATTTACATTTGCAAGTAAAAGTGTCCAACAACAAAAAGTACATATAATTGCTTATAATTATTTTTTTTAAACACTGAAATACTATGTCAGTTCACAGTGAACTTCCTACACAATATTTAGGGCATATAGTTGTATGTTTTTCTTTTAAAAACAATATTTTTGAATATCTATGATGATTGATGAGTAATATACACTATACAGTTTGAACATAATGTATAATCAAATCTTACATTTTACTAAGATTAATAAAATATTATTTAACAAAAATGGCTTTAAAGCAAAAATACTAGTTTATAAAATATGTAAAATATTTACAACATTTGCAAGTTCAAAAGGACTTTGTCAAAACAAATTAAGTGTAAGAAAATATTAAGGTTGGGAACAAAATTAATCAAGATTTTAAGTCGAAATGAATTTCAACTATTCTTTAAATATAATAAATCATTAATTTTACCGTTTGTTCACCAGGTTTCCAATTAGCCGGACATACTTCTCCGTGCATATCTGTGTATTGAAATGCTTGTACTAGTCTTAGAGTTTCATCTACACTTCGGCCGACTGGCAGGTCATTCATTGTAATTTGTCTGAGAATACCTCTATTGTCTATAATAAACAATCCCCTAAAACAAAGGCAAACAATCAAAAGAAATAAACATTTTTGTTGTAAAAAGTGCTATATATATAGATAGTACCTCAGGGAATGACCAACATCACTCAAATAAACACCATAATCTTTAGATATTTTATGAGTCATGTCAGACAATAGTGGGATTGACAATTTACCCAAACCGCCATCCTTTCGTGGGGTGTTCACCCAAGCCAAATGTGTAAAATGCGAGTCCACAGATGCTGCAACAACTTCGGCATCGATCCTCCTAAATTCTTCAATGCGGTCGTTGAAAGCTAATATTTCTGTTGGGCAAACAAATGTGCTGCAAACCAATGTAAATCATTACTACACAAGAAAAGTGCAGGGTCTAAGGTAATTAGGTAAGCACTTACAAGTCCAATGGGTAAAAGAAGAACACTAAATACTTCCCACGAAAATCTTTTAACTTCAGCTCTTGCAATGAACCATTAATGACGGCCGTGCTTTTCCAATCAGGAGCTGGTTTTGATACTAAAAAAAAACAGAGAGCCGTTAAGAACCATCATATACTCATATTAGCCGACAAGACATCCTAAGGGCAGGCACTTATAGTTGTATACAACCGCATAGAATGATAGTTATTAGTTATTACTCACTCAATGCTTTGGTGTATTGCAATTTGTGATTGGTGGATTCAATGGTGCTGGATGGATAGACTGACCCGTCAGCAAACTTCTGGCATTTGAAGTCATCCGCATTACCAGTGCCGATGCTGTTCAAAGCCAAATATGCCAAGACGAAGTTGGCGATCATCGTGTCCCTTCGGCTACGTATGCGAATCTGTCGTCTGTAGTTGGTGTTAAAAATTTAAAAACGACAAAAACCGTTCGGGAACATAATGACAACGACGTTAAAAAAATATATAATGGACTTTCACGATTTGCTCGATATGTGATGACTAATAGCTAATAATTCAAATTACTGTCTACACTTAAGTGTTACTATTAAATACCACAAAGTACAAAGCAACAGCTAATCCTCTGCTGTTGTGTCAGGACGTCGCTCAGGACAGGTGTCTTGTTTTTGTTTGGTCTTTTTCGAAACAATTTCGTAGTTAGTACCGTTATCAGCCGCACTCGGTGATAACGAAAACGGGGAGAAACGAAAAAACACCGGAACGGTCATGGTAAGAACCACATTCAACCACAATATTGAGGTATATTTGGTAAATACCACAATATTGTAATTCAGCGCGAAGCTTCAAACTGCAGTGTTAACATGAACGGGATCGAATACCATCGCAGATTATATTTAGACACAAAGTCAAAATCTATAAATTATAATAACACAAAAATAGTCATTGCAGTGGCGTAGGTATATGACCTCAAAGGTGTCGGACTCGGTTCGTTTAGAAAAAAGCACACACACCACTGTATGTATTACCGAAAACAAATGTGAGAAAAAAACGTTTTGGATTTGATTAAGTACCTACTTTTGCATAAATAATATTAATAAAATTATCCCGGTCTAGCCCACCTTTGTCACCTCCGATCATCGGCTACTTCTCATTTTATTGGAGGACTGATATCTATTTTTAACTTTACAAATCTATTTTTAAAAAGCTGGGATGTAAAAATGTCTTGGTGTCCACACACCCTCAAAAATTATATGGTGTCATGCATTTTGAAAGTAGTTAAACATTTTAATGTCATTCTTATAAATTCACAATATTATTATGTTGCATGTTCTGTTTCTCATTTATCTTGTTACTTTTATTCTTTTAAATGTACGTACCGATGTTATTACTTATATTAATTCATATCATTGTTATTATTTATTGTTAATGTTTTTTCACATAATATGTACATTGTAAAACTTAATATTATTAATTTAAGGCTGTTGAAAGCGGGTCGTTATTTAGTCATTTTTTCGTGCATTTACACCAATAAGCAGAAGAAAAAAAGATACACTTCCAGAAGTCTAATTATAATTTTGAAAAAATATTTGAATTCCTTTTTCTTTTTTCTAGCTTAAGTAAGAAGTGGATTTTTGATTTTTTTTCTAACACTAAAGTAATGGCGAATTTTGAAAAAAAAAAGAAAATTAATTTGGTACTATACTAATATACATATTATATACTTTACTCTACAAACAAATCGAAAATCCATTTTCTACATAACCTAGAAAAGACAATAAGGAATTCAAATATTTTTTAAAAATTAAAACCGGACTTATTTTACCGGGTATTATTAACATACCTATAATTACCTACCTATCCTAACTCTTTTTGTTTCGATAAATAAACAATAGAAAATGCAGTTGCTCAATTTTAAAGTAACACCTACACGGGATGATCTCCCACTTCATAAATATCTACTGTGGGATAGTCAAGATATGGGCACCAATGTCCACCACAGTACCTTCCCGATAATGAATATGAGGGGGAGCTGAGGGAGGCTTATCCCCCCTCTTACATCGATATCAAAAATGTTTGCTCCCCCCCCCAGAAATTTTAATCGATTTCCACCTGTGTACCCTAACCTAACCTATACCTAATAGCTGTAATATTATAGTACCCTATATGTATAATATGTAACATTTCACATTTGAGTACCCCACTACTGCAGACTGAGCGTGTATTTAATATTATCAATACCATCAGATATGTACAATAGTGTTTTGTAATCGTATTCTACAGTAGGTATAATGAAACGAACAAATCAACCGACTGCAGAACATTAAAAAAAAATCACGTGATGGGGTTGAAGTTGCCTAAGCAACACCGATAAACATATTTACCGATTGGGACGATCGTTTGAATTCCGGAAGGCGCAGACGTGTTCCTATAATGTATATTAAACTCTTTTACGATAATATATGTCACTGACACGAGTCGAGTGCACATCAATACAATATTAAAAAATAATATTTTGCGTGTGTGCATGTTTTTGTTTTTCCTTCACTATAGATTAATGTTCTTCCTGACGCCTTTTCAAAGAAGAGTCGCCCAGTCTCGGTATTGCGCCGCCGTGTATAATATTATATTATAATGCAGCTGTCGAGGAGTTCTTTTCGTTCGGAAGTTTGATAAAATTACACAATTGCTTATGTTTGGTTACCTGTTAATGCACATATCATATACGAAACCCATCTGTTGGAGGTGTATATTATTATATTGGATGCAAACGTCTGACGATTGATTGGACTTGAAAAAAATTCAGGACCACGACTACGTGTGATTTTCGTTTCCAGATACCAGATATAATATTATAATAAGGTATGCAGGTAAATGTACATTATTTTTATTATTATTGTAAATTACGTCCTGCCTCACGAGCACACATCGAATAGTAAATATAGAACTATTTTAATAGTCCAATAAAATTTTACGGGCATATAATATTTTAAAATTGTCAGGCCCTTAGAAACATCAAAATTTAAAAAAAATCATAAGCATTAACAATTGTGGTTCTTATTTGAAAAATTAAGTTTGTATCACTACAGGTCTTTTAATTTTATAGAAATCCAATTATTTGAAAATAATATGGTCTTTATAATAGACAATAGTAAATTACCGCAAACTACGTACAAATTGCAAAAATCAGAATTTCAATAAATTTATTTTTAAGAATAAATTAGGGACGAGCGTGATGAGAGAATCACTTTGCAGTACACAGTACAAATATATATGTACAATTTTTAACTTCATAAAATATTTAAGATTGTAAATATTTTAAGATGGTTCTATTAATGTTTGTATATATATATGCTGTAATTGAAACTAATTTTTATTTACATAAAATATCTTTTAAAAGGTATTTTTTTCATTGTTGTTATATATTATTATTGTAATGTTTTTGTATCCGCTTCTTATTGTTGCTTCTATTATTGTTTGTCATTATTTTTTAATTTTGCACGAAGATGTCCACCTTGAACTGTGCAGGAGTCTATTTTTTGATTTTTAAACATGGATCAAATTGTATTTTTAAGGTGGCGGGCCATTGAAGTTGCAGACGTTTTATGGAATACTTACGATATTTTTTCTATAAGTGGAGAAATAATGATTGTTATTTTAGTTTTTTATTTTTGGTTTCATGAATTGAAAAAAAAATCACTATTATTCTCGGTCTAGGTAGGTATACAATGATGTGCATTATCTAATTTGTAAAGGTACGCACAAACAATTACGCAGGCACCATTATAGTATGTACGCACATAATATTATGCACGCATGCTCACGACCTATTTTGTTCTACTTTTATAAATACAACGATTAACGTATATATGTTTGCAAGTTTATGCATATATTTGTGAATCGTTATTTTGATGTAATCGTATTATCAACTTTTGTATTTTAGTCATCATATTAATACCTATATACTGACAACTGTTATAATAATAGAGTTAATATTTTTAAATAACTTAACCTCCACCTGAAATGAGACTTGAAAATTGACTAAAATCTATATAATAATACAATAACTGAAAAATGCATGCATTTATTAAACGAAAAATCAGCAAAAAAATTATTTTCAAATTTAACTGTAGTATGGTATAATTTGGAAAATATTATCTTTATGACAAATAAATACCTACATAAAAGTTGGTAAATTATATTGTATAAATTACATTTTTAAATAAACTATCTTCTTGTAGGTACTCTGAAATATATTTTCGAAGAAAACAAAATCTTAAAAAAATGTTTATATTTTTTACAGTATATACCAATTAAACGTATACAATCTAATTAATAAAAAAAATAAAACTTTTGGTTCTCTAAATGTCAGTTGCAATACATATATACATAATTAGTTCACTGCCTTGCTTTTGTCATTACACTTTCTTTGTTTAGGCCTTTAGGGAGCAAATTAGTGTATACAATTAAAAATAAATATTAAATTATATTTGATTTCTAAATAAAAATTCATGAAACCAGTCTTAGAAAAATGTGTTGGGGCCCAATAAGAATACTTATGAATAGTTCGAATTGTTCAAATTTACTATTAATATTTAAGAAAGTATTAATAATTCAATATAATATGTGAATAATAACTATATTGCTTAAATGATTTTTTATTCTTCATACTTAAAAAAGTGCATCTAACTAACATTTTTTGGCTCACAAGGTTAAGACAATTCAATTTCCACTGCACTTTGGTTTATTAAAATTATATATCATTGTGGTCTACCGTATAGTTAATCGTTATAGATAACAGATCTAAGGCGTACTTACTGATATTCAAAATTTTTTTTTTAGCAAACTAAATTGTATTATTGAAGGAAATGAGTTCGGAGAAAAAAATAAAAACCATTGAAAATGAAAGCGATGAAAACTTACCGTTCGATATTTACGATTCGGACTTCCCGACAAGAGTTATTCCTTCCTAAAACAACAGTAGTTCTTTTATGGACTCGAAATCGGCCGTACGTGTCGCGTCGAATACCGGTGGAACTGCATTGAACGAATATGACGTGGACGATGAAGAAGATTTCATAAGTAAGTATTATTTTGTATTATTTTTACGTATTATATACGTTTTCATATGTATTACAAAAAAAAAAAAAAAATACGAAGCATTTGTTTGAACAGTTTTGTTTCGTTTTTAATTTATGGCCAATTCCCTCATTTTAGTTTTTAATGTGTATACGGTGTGACTCTTTAGAAGTGTATTTCGCGTCAGGCACTGTACTGAAGCCATCCGACAAACCTTACGATCTGCGGTCGAAAATTTACGAAGCAAATCGAGAGTTGGAAAACGCCAATGAGAGCAAATTCTCGAACGTGCCTGGAAAAGTCAAGTTCGACAACACTGTAGTAGTACTGGACAGTTTCGAAGACATTGGTACGGGTTTGTCGTGTTCACGTTGACACTATAATATTCTTAGTATATTTTATATTTTTATGAGCACATTATATGTACGGTAAATGCCCACAAAAGTAAATTCCATTTACACACGAGCCCTGAGATTAATTTGGGAAGGAACGAGCGTAATTCACAATTTTTGCAATTTATTATTTTTACAATCTTTTAATTATTACATATATATATATAGAGGTACACATTATTTTAAATGAAAAGTGAAACCTAAATATAATAAATTACCTTTTTAAATACTACAGGTTTTTTATGGTTTGACAGTGTATAGTCCAATGAGTATTTCTGTTTGTATTATTTAAAATGTAAATCATAATTTATTTCATAATAATATGTTTAGTTGTTTTCTGTTAGTTTTTATTTATTAATAAAATAATAACCATACTGCCTACTGGTATACAATGCCCGAGCAGCAAATTTCAGTGCAGCGAATATGTAAATGCAATGTAAAACATCAGTCAAAATGTGAATATCGAATTTTCACATATGTTGCCCAGTTCCCTAAGGGTGCTATAGTGTCGGTTCACACACCGTTCGACATCTGTTGTATTACAGTTAAATGATGAAATATATAACCATGCACACGCTGATTATTGTTCAGTGTTATAACTGTATAGTGTATATATGTATATTGTATACCCAGCATTTTGTATGGTCTTATAATCGTTGATACCCAAAATGTATATAACCTAACCTTTAATCTTGAAAGTATAAAAGTGTGTGCGTCGTTAACTATAAATACCATGCACATTTTGCAAATATAATAAAGTTGATAACAAATCACCTCAGCATAAGTTTTACAAATATATTAATCCCAAAAAAATGTAGATAATTATTTTAATCAAACATATTTTATCAATACATTTTGAAATAGTTGTGTATAATATACAGATTACTGGGCTATATACCAATACCATATTATAAGTAATTTTTATTACGAGTAACATTTTATAGAAGTATTGATTTAAATTAAATTATGGTAATATTATTGTAAACAGTAGTCATTTAGTTTTCTTTTCTCATCTTTTTCAAAAACATCGCATAAAAAATCAGCAAGAAAATTATTTTAATATAATATTATATTCTGTGCAGGGTCTATCGGTTAACTTAGTAGATGAGTGTGAGATGAGATGATAGTGTCATTATAAGTCGTTTTAATATTATTTATAGGTACAGTGTCGATTGGCACGGAAACACTCCAAGGTGCCGAAGTTATTCTTCCCGAACGTTTAATTGATGATACCGAGGATAAAGACATTTTGGCCAAAATCGATTTGTTGAGAGATGATGATGCAGACGACCAAAACGACGTAGTGTGCAGTTCAACTACCGATAGGACGCAGGACACAGACACAGACGACAAAGCCTATTCAAGCACTTCGTTCAGCAGGAGTTTTTCGTCCGATTCCGACGACCCGCTGTTCATAAACGTCATCGAGTCCGGGGACGAGTTCAAGACGATCATGGACAGGAACAACAAAACGCGGCAAGGATCGGCGATTGACGAGCACGTGACGTACTTTCCGGAACTGTTCACCCACACGCAATACAAGATGTACGAAAACTGTGCGGAAAAACCGTTGGAAGACGGTGACGTAAACATATACGTTCCCAAGAAACTGGATGCGGAGGAGCTGAGGACCAAGCTAAAGGAAATCACGGGAGAGCGTAAACGCGGGGTTCAGGTAGCGGGGACGTTGAATGACAGGAAAGTCGACTGCAAGCCCATGAAAAAAGTCGGTTGTTTCGCATCGTTGCGGAACGTACAAAAGAAAATCAAACAAAATATAAAAACGTCCGAGAAAAAAGTCCAACCGTCGACTGCCCAGATGCAGCAGCAGCAGCAGCAGGTGGTCCACTGCAACAATGGTAACAACAATAACAATAATAACAACAACAATATTAATAAAAACAACAAGGCTCGCGTGACATATTACTTTGAAATGGACCCAAAAGGTAAGCTCAAACCACTGAACAGTAAAACCAACCGTCAGGCAGTCGACGAAACGAGTTCTTCGAACAACTGCAACGACAAGTCTACGAATAGGTTCTTCCACATAAACCTGAGAGCTGCTAAAAACGGCGAGAACGCCAAGCCCCGGATCACCAAGACTCCGAACTCGGATTTGTTCCTGGAATTTCAGACGGACAAGTCGGGCAATAACAAGGGGGCGAAGCTAGTGATCAAAAAGAAGCAGCAGCCCGCGGCCGGGGAAGAGCTGCAACACAGCCCGACGGGCTTGAACGGTGGAGGTATCACCAAGAAGTCCTCGGCCGCTGGCAGCGTCGAACGTCCTCGTTTGCCGGGCTACAACGGCCTCCGATCCGAGTACGGGCTGTCGGCCGAACAACTGTTGGAGAGGCGCAACACGAGAATGGAACGAGAGAGGCGGAGGAAAGAGTTGAGGCAGAAGAAACACGAAGAAGAGCAGAAGAAGAGGGCGGAAAACGAAAAAAATTTCTACAAATGGCTGCAACAGAAGAAACAGCTGAAGAAACACTCGAAGACCATCAGACGCAGCTACCCCATGAACAGACTGACCGTGTCTTCCGCAAGAGTTTCCATGTAAGTTTTATTATAAACATAATATAACATAATATTATTTGCTTGGCTGTTTTTAATATAATATGTTTGCTTTGTTGTTGTTGTTTTTTTTAACTTTTACCATCAGAAATTCTACACACGACGGTGACCGACGCAAAGGATCGTTTGCTCTGGAAGAACTGTTGAAGATCAAAGACGAGAGTAGCGGATGGTTTAAATTTTAAAAAAGAAATCGTTATTTTGTTTATTATACAAATACCGTTAATTTAATCAGTTATTAGTTAATATTAACATGATATCATATTTTAGATACGACTGTGAATTGCCTACATGCAGTACCTACGTGAAATAAATAATATTATATTATGCAATGCAATATGCCAATATATTATAGAATATAGGACATAATATAGACTATAATAATTTTTTTTAAATGTTTAAATTATTTTATTCACGCGTAACCCATGAGCTTGTGGTATTAGGTTATTTTCACATAATATATGTGACGATGTTGATAACAGCGATATTCTATAGAGTTTTGTATTATATCATAAACTGGAGGTAAATATATGGATTGGCATTATTGATGAATAACTAATACAATAACATTATACTATATCACTGCCCAGTGCCCATGACTGGTAATTATATATTCTTCCAACCTGTCAATTTTTTTTACTTGAATATTGTAATACAAATTTTTTTATTGCCACTTTTCATCTAATTCACATTTATATTTCATCGAAAACGATTAAATAAAAATAATAATAAAGGCTATTAAAAAATTCCAAATCTTAAGTTTTATACTTTTTTAAATATGTTTTATAAAATATATAAAATTACGTTTTTGTTATTAAATATGAATAAGTTATGATTTATGATGTTGAATTCACGTTTGTTATTTTTATTTTAAATACAAATCTGTTAAATTTAATAGTAAATACTAAATAATGATTAACAATCCTGTACAACTAATAGATTTTTCGATTTAACTTAAAAAGTGGTCATAGTATATTATGTATAGATCATAATTTTTCAAAAACAACATTATGTGTTTATATGCTATAATATTGTATCAGTATCCAGTAGGTAATTGATTAAATTACTATAGTATTTTATTTCTTGTTGTTTATTTTAATTTATAATACATAGTAATTACTAATTAGTTATTAGTTATGATAAAAAATAAATCATAGAAACCATCAAAATTTAAGAGTTATATTTCAATATTATATTTATACAAAATTTAGAATTATAATTTATTGTTTATTTATGTGTATGAGAATAAACGTTATTTATAGCTGTCACTAATAATTCAAATTGCTCAGTTTTCTTATAAATGTGTATAAATTATTATGTACCTACCTTTGTCATGTGAATAACAATCATGGGGAGGGGAATACTAAGTTGTACAAATATTATATGTTTTGAATAGTATTCATTTGAAAAATATTTTACCTGTTCAATTTTTCGTCAGAAACGTAATTAATAGCCAATAGGGATATTATTTACTATTTGTGTCAAAAACTGGCAAGTAAACAGATATCTGTTTGCAAAATGGTGTGCATATTTTATTTGTTAACATAACATATATGCACCAATGCACCATCATGCTAGGGTAGTTCGTATAATAAAATATATTAGTTAAAAATGTACCAATTCGTGAACGGTTGTTTTGAAATGTAGATGCCAATGTAATTTAAATAAATAAATAAATAAATACATTGTAAATATGTAAAATATAGTAAATATCTAAAATAAATTGTAGGCACAAATATGAAACAAATTAATTATTAATTGTAGTTTTTTCTACACACACAAATCAAGAATTAATGTTGTTTTACATTTAAATGCTACAGCCGGGTCAACTCGAATAATGAAAATCATAATAATAATAAATTATGGATATAGGGGAAAAATTGAATAGACAATTTTCTAAAAATGTATGTAGTTAACACGAATAAATTGCTTATCTTTTAACGTTTTGAGTATCTCTGAGTATTTTACGCGCGTTGCCCGGCATCCGCACAAAATTGTTCATGCGATTTTTCGTCGGCATTGAAAGCAATTAATTAATAATTAATTAATACAAAAATACGATTGCGAAAAAAATACTCGCACGGCCGAAATGTTGCCTACACTGTAAGTTGAAGGCGCCAAAATACAATTCTGTGACGGCCGCCACCGTTCCCTTTGTCCGCGTAGCGCGGAAGAGAGCAATGCTGGATTATTCACAGTTTTTGAACGATTTAGTTTCAATGTGCGTGGCCCGTCAAATTTATAATTAATTATCCATTTATCGGTGGTTCTGTTGCTTGTTCATCTGGTCACGAATAAATATGGATTGGATTCATTGCAACTCGTGTTTTGTTCAACCTTGCAAAGAAAATGGTTAAAAAAAACAGTTTCACTTGACCAGCTGCGGCCATATATTTTGCGAAAACTGCACTTGTTTTGCGGACGGTAAGTAATGGCGGATCGAACCGAACGGAATATTTTCGTTTGTTCATATTTTGACTGTTTAGTTTCATGACAAAAACATCGACAAACACTGCGGTTAAAATATTAGTTTATACCATCATGTACATATATAACGATAGAGACCCGACCGTGATTTTCGTTTTACCATGACGTCAGTTAACCATTTTCTGACCAAAGCTTGAAGTATACTAAAAAGTCATTTTTTTCACGTTACAATTTTTATGCACTTTTTAAGTAACAGCATATTTTTGTTTTTGGTGCTTTATCCTTTTTTAATCCTGGGACTTTTAGGTCTCGCCGGTCATCTATACAATTTGGACTCAAAAGTTCCGTCAGTCAAGTTGTCCATTTTTTTTTTGTATACCTACCAAGGCCGTACCTGGGGGGTCTGGGGGTTCAAACCCCCCCGAAATTTTTTCGTGTTGTATTATATGGTAGTAAAATAACAATTTCAATTAGAACACATTTTAACGCA